ATGTCCAGACTTATGAAAATGTCACCAGCACTTTTAGACCTCAGAAGACATGGGATATTAAATCTGTGGTGCTGTCATGTGCAATAAAAATAGTTTAAGTTCTTTGCACAGATTTCTGCAGGATTTTAGTTATCTGTTATGCTAGTTTCCTAACCCAGTGAAGCTTAAGCTTTCATCAAATAAGGTATCTGGCTTGTTGGTGAGGAGGGTATGGGAAAAGCATGGCCTTGGCAGAACTCCTGATGGTGTGGTACATAGATTTCAGTAGTTCTCATTTGGGATAATGATATGCACCTTCCCCTCCAAACCTTAACAAAATAAGGAAGTAAGCATATGGTGAAGAGAATAACACCTCTGTTTGAGTCTAACAAGCCAAATCAAACACTGCACCTCTGTGTGGGGAACTTGGGGGCTGCAGTTCTGAGGCTTAGGTCTCCTGGGATGTGCCTACAGCTGTGTTTTGTGAGATGCAAGGGTACCACTATTAATACACCCATTTAACAGACAGTAAATCAGAAGATGGGTCCATCTGTGCAGGGTGGATGAATTCCTGCTTTGTACTTGAATACTTAGTCATGTGCAAGTTAGAATCATAGAATCATAGAATGGGTTGGGTTGGAGGCGACCTTAAAGATCATCTAGTTCCACAACCCTTGCCATGGCCAAGGATGCCACCCACTAGACCAGGTTACTCAGGACCACATCCAACCTGGTCTTGAACACTTCCAGGGACGGGGCATCCATAACCTCTCTGGGCAACCTGTTCCAGTGCTTTACCACACTCTGAGTAAATAATTTCTTCTTAGTAGCTAATCTAAACCTACCCTCTTTCAGTTTAAAACCATTGTGCCTTGTCCTTTGTTGTTCTTTCAAACCATGGAGTTAGTCCTTTTTCTCAGAAGAAACACTATTATGTTACTTAACCTAAAGTTTTCACTTTCATTTATTCTTGTATTTGTTAACCAAGTTTATACAAGACTGTCAAATTAGAAAGATACTGCTTAGATATCTCATCACTTGAACTGTTCAAAGTACTGCATGAATTTGACCACTTCACAAATATTAATCTGCCTTGGGATTCTCCTGAGCACCCATTCACTGAGCTAAAAATTGGTGTTTGCATGTGTTTGTTCCCTAGGGCTCATCTCCCCCAGTGAGCATGTTTAAACAACTGAATTGCTTCTACAATGAAACATTCAAATTCAAGCCTTTATGATTATGCAATCTGGGATTATTTTTTTTTTTATCATTAGACTTCCTTCTGAACTGGGTGGTTGACACTCCCTGTTCCAAATTCCTGTCCCATGAGCTAGTTGTTTGGAAATACTGGCTAGGAGGACAAACACTGTGGCTTGCCTTTTTTTCTTTTTCTTTTTTTTAATGTTTTTTTAAATCTGGAGAAAGTGGTTTTTTACTAGGTATTTGAGATTAAACTGTAACCTGAAGGTAGGCCACAGAAACAGGATAAAGATCAAAAGGAAAAGCAGAGCATTACTTGGTAGATTGATGCAGCTGCAAACAGTGGAGCTGATTCAAGGTGCTTTGGGAGTCTGAGGATTCTTGTGCATGACTTAACTAGTTTCTGGATTAAACCTTGCATATGCCCTAGGAGAGGAATGTGTACCTGCTTCAGCAGCATGCGCACTCTGGAAAATAATGCAAGAAGCTAATCTATGTTGTGTCAAACTCAGGCTTCATATACACTTTTACTATTCAGAAAAGATATTTCTGATTAACTCTATGTCTAAACAGTTTTAATGAATCATGAGACTACTTTGACTTGACTCTCCAGTCAGATCAGTTTCTGTACAGAACTTCACTCCTTGATCTGTGTCCAAGAACATATTTATCAGGGAATTTATACAGCCCTTTAAATTCACTTCCTTATGTGAATTAAACTGATTTTCATGTGCAAAACTCCTTGAAAGTTCACTGTGTGTGAAGTGAGGATGTTTTCATCTTTTTCATGTGTCCTGTGATCCTGTAGTCTTCTCCCTCAGAGTCCTCCTGCAGTGCAGTCCTTCTCTGCTGCAGGAGAGCTGGATAGATGAGCTTCCCCCCTGCCTGCAGGGACAGAAGGCCACATGATGTGCCCTTCCTGCACTGACTGAATGCTCAGACTCTCTTGGCTGGACAAGGAGAGCACCAGGGTTTTGTCAGTTTTCTTGGGGAGTACTTGTTTCATTTTTCAAGTATTTTCATTTTACAATACCATAGCCACTTGAACAGCCACAGGTCCTTCAGGTTGCCATGTCACAGGTTGCCAGGTACTTGAAAGCACACAGAGAAAAACTGATGCACTCAATGCCTTTCGTTGTAGTGCTTCAGCTGTTCAGAGGGCTCAGCCAGCTCCAACATTTAGAGCGCAGCTGCCTCCGACAGCGGCGGCGGCCCCAGCATTGTTTTGTTGTTGTTTCTGCAGAGGAGCGGCAGGAGCTTACATCATTTCCAGTAATGAAGTGCCTGGGGTTCTTTTATGACTTGCACACTCTGCTTCTCTGGAGCTGTACAGTATGTGCTGCATGACTCCAGGAAACCGAGGATTTGTTTTGACTTGCTAAAAGAACGTTTTGCTGTTTCTCTTTACAATTTCACCGTATGACTTGTCAATTCTCTCCCTCTCTTAAGAATAACTTCAGATTTAATTAGCTGAGTGCAAACATCTTTCATTGCCATGTGGATTAGACTCCTCATTGAGTACATTTACCAACAGAATGAAAGACATCTTAATCAGGCATTTCTGTATTTGTACTGCTGTGTCCAGAGAACACCATAGTTGTCAATAGACAGTTGCTATTGACTCCCTTTCTAGTGAGGGAAGCCTAGTGATGTGGGGACCAGTCTTGTTAAGGCTTGCTTTTTGGTTCTCATGCTCTCCCTCCTACCCAAGAGCCCTGTTCAAGTGTATTTCATTATCATTTCCCTATCTGCTATGCCAGAAAAAAGATACTTATGTGCCTTGCTGGGATGTCCTGAAGGAGCTGGCATGCCCCCAGAAGTTCCCCAGTGACCTTGCCTAGCAATTTTAAATAGTGCCATTTATACTTTGCTGAATTGCAAAGTAGCATTTGCACATGAACCTCTATTAGACAAGTTTGGCACCAGCTTCCCAAAGCATTACCTGGATATATGCATGTGTATGTGCTTTGAATTCCTCAGTGCTGAATTTCAGTTTGTGTTTCCACCACTGAGAGAACATTCTCCAGACCATGAACCGCCTGGGTTGTTTCTGGGATATCATGACCAAAGCAGCAGCCTCCACAATTCTCCCTGAGTCCCTGAGTACATGTTTGTGCTGCAGCAACAGCAGCTGATTTACCTGAATGTGTGCAGTCACGACAAATGCTTTTCGGCAGCATCAAAAACAAGCATTCAAAATTTCCTTCTTAAAACTGTCATCCTTTCTGTTAGTTCCAGATATTGGTCTTGTCATAAGCACTTTATGAAACACCTTTAACCCCTATCAACCATTCACTTCCTCAGAGTTAAAATTTGACAAGTCCATTTTTAGCCATCTCTTCTCTCAGAGTTGCTGTGGTTTCTGTTTGATTCTTCAGAAGTGAATCATAGTTTCAAAACCCTCACTACCTTAGTGAAACACCCTTTTTCCATTAGCATTCAACGTGTTTAACATGGGTTCAGACATGTTATCAGAACCTTTATGCTAGAGTCCTTTAAAAAAAAATCCCGTGTGATTTCATGCCCTGGAAACACCTTTTACACTGTAACTATTCCTACAGCTATTGAGAGATATGAGGCATATGGGATCTGAGCTAGTCAAATTAATACCATAATGGCTTCTGGCTTGACAAGCAGATACAGTGCAAACAGAGAGCAGAACAGCTGTAGTAGACTTACCTTTTATGTGGGTGGCATAGACGTCTGCCAATTAAAATGATCTGATGAATCATTTCTTGCCATATGATTACTGTTAATAAGAATTTATGTTAACGTGTTTGTGTCTGAACTTTGCACAGGTTCATGCCTGCATTTATTTTCTCAAAAAATAGAGCATATCATGATTGTTTTCTGTTCTTAATGGACTTTCTTTCCTCACTTGAAAGCATTCCAGGACTTCAGTAGTGCAGTGGTGCCAACTATCCCTTAAAGGAAGATTGTTTTATCTCCATGTAGTGCTTTCTGCATGTAATTCTGTGTACACAGACCAGCAGACCTGGGAACCTCAAGCTAACCTTCTAAATCCTTGCAGCAGCACTTACAAAGACAGCACAGCCTTCAAAATATGAGTCCTCATAAACTCTCATTAAAGCCTCTATTGTTGCAAACAGTGATACTTACACTTTCCTATAAATAGTCCCGGAGACTGACACGTTTTAGCCATTGACTTCATTACACTATCCTGTGTGTGTAAAATCAAGAGATTTTTTCCCAGAACTGATGTGTTATATTTATGATGAGAAATTTAAGCATGGCAAAACGTTCTCAGCAGCTTACAAAGCATTTCAAAATATTTGAGAAGTCTGTGCAACAAGTGAGACATTTTATAGAAAGAAACACGAGTTCAAGCACGGTGAGTGTTAACAGACTTTGATGTAAGATGGTTTGGGAATCTCCCTCTGATCAGAAAAATGTCGTTTAAAATTCTGCATAAGCCTGGTAATTATAGTAGGACAGAAAACAATAGCAATAAAACTGCTTGAAGTACAGTTTAGCTAGGATAAGTGGTTGGAGATTTAACATCCTTGTGAATCTTGTTTGGGAGCCATGAGCAGAACAAACGTTTTGGTGGAAGGACTTGTTCCCATGGGACTTAGAACAGTTAGTAGGAAATATACTGAGGAAAACAGTCCTAAGAAGGCTATGGGGGAACAGAAGACACTGATAAGCAAGGCATTTCTATGGCAATTAGATGGGAGCTTTTGGGGGCTCTTTGGCTAACAGCCTTTCCTTACTTCTACTCTGCCCATGTTTATTATGCTTTAATATCATATTTGCATCCATTTTCCCTGCAGCATCAGTAAATCAAGAACTCCTCTCATATGTCTTTTCCAGTGTCATCCTGCATTACCACCTATAAGAAGACACCACCTCCAGTCCCACCAAGAACTACCACCAAACCATTTATTTCCATCACAGCCCAGAGCAGCACAGAGTCTGCCCAAGATGCATATATGGATGGGCATGGACAAAGGGGAGATATCATCAGTCAGTCTGGACTTAGCAACTCTACGGAAAGCTTGGACAGTATGAAGGCACTAACAGCTGCTATTGAAGCTGCCAATGCGCAGATTCATGGCCCTGCAAGTCAACATGTAGGGAACAATACTGCCACTGTCACCACCACCACAACCATTGCCACTGTTGCAGTAGAAGATAGGAAGAAGGACCACTTCAAGAAAAACAGATGCTTATCTATTGGAATACAGGTACAGTCCATGACTCGGATTATATGCCTCCCATTGTTTTGGATTTCTACATCTGTTTTACTGCTCATTATACAATGTTTTGTGTATTTTTCTTCTTGTACTGGCAGGTACCTATGTAGAAATTGCATCAGCATAATCATTCTGCATGGTACTAATGATGTTTTCCAAATTTATCATAAAAACATCAGATGCAAGGATTTGTTTAAGTCTCCTTGCTGCTTGTTATTCAGCTCTGTTAAATTATACACATGAGCACTAATCTATGAATCATAACACAGCAGGGGTCAGAAAGGCATGAATTAAATCATTGAAAGGGAATGTGTAAAACAATGATTTACATTACACTATCACCCAAAAAATATTTTCATCCAGCCTCACTGAATTAATTGTCGCTGCTTATTCATGCATTTCATAATGACTCGTAGCCGCTTGAATGAGGCAGCATTGTTCCTATCTCAGCCTCAAGAGCAGGTCCTTCTGATTTGCCCTTGTTAAAGAAAATTACATTTTGTTACCTCTAGTGGAATGAAACAAGAAAACTAACCCCACCAAAGTTCACTCCTGTTTACAAAAAGAAGAGCAAATAAACTAGACCAATGTAATCTGCTTTCTTAATTCATCTTTCCCACAGGCCCCTCCTCCCCAAGAAAAGAAAAAAAATAGAATGTACGCAGGACTCCAGCTACAACTATCTGCTTGCAGGATTAGCTTTTGCAACAAAGTACTTGCACTTAGAATCAACTGAGAATCAACACAGGTTTTGATGGGGGGTGAATTCCAAGCAAATAAAATAGCAATCCACAATTTAGAGACTTTCACAAGAAGACAGGATTTTTTTTCTTGCAGAAGGAGGTTGTAAGCACAGCACTATGTGCCTGGACAGGCTTATCTGATTAGCAAAGCCTATGAATTTACTGTGAAGTCTCTATATCAGCCTGATTGGATAGATGAGAAGCACTGTGCTGAACTATGCCATCCCAGGGGCAGCTCCTGGAGAACCTGTGACTTTTCACTTACTTCTTGGAAGGGCAATAATTACTACTGCCTGTGGGTTCAGTTCACTGGTTTTGCTGTAGACTTTTTCTGCTTCACAGCTGTTTGTTTGGGCATATTTACAAGGGCTGATATTCAGTGTCAAATACAGGAGCAAGATTCAGGCAGGACAGGGATTGAGGAAAGCCCTTCTATTAATTATTTGTATTCCCAGCCAAGCCTAAGGTGCCATTTTACTTTTGTAATTCCTTATTCCATTGAGCAAAAAAACAGAAATTCCTTAGCAGGCAAACACCCTGCAAAATAAAGGGTGGAAGGAAATAATTTCCATGTTTGCAGAAGCCAAAATGAACAACAGCAATGTGAATCATGGTTCTTGAGACACCATCTCCCTGCTGTCTCTTCTGAAGGCAGTGCTGCAAGTAACAAATGCTGCTTTTGAGAGGTGTAGGGGCATCAGTTTCCTGAGATCTGAGGCAGACAAAGCTCCAAATGCTGTTCAAGCCTTTGACAATCTCTCACTAAAGCTTTGAAGTTTACAGATGACCAATATAATCATAGGAAATAATCATGAAAGCTGTCTGGGGCTGGGAAGTGAGGGTCTGCCAGGGTAGGTTTCGTTTATAAGCCAATGGAGATGCCGAAAACTGAGATTACATGAAGTGAAACCTTCAGCAGTGTTACAGCCTTACAGGATTCCTGGCTGTGCATGGTGCCGCCTTCACAGTTGTGCCTGTCAATGAGATTTTTAGAGTCAGACAGGATTCACAAATAAAAGTAAACTACTTCACTGCTGTCTGATCCATTTTGCAGTATCGTTGCACAAGCAGTCAAACTGGTACAGCTGAAGGGGTAGTGTGGGATTAGAGATACTGTAAAATAGCTGTGTCTGCCAGAAATTACCTCTCTTACAAACAACTGCCCTAAAGTAGGTAGGTACACCATCAGTCCTCTGACTGGCAGTATAGAGTCAGTCTCTCTCCACTAATTGTAAAGGGAGCCTAGTTTAGGCTTAGTCTGAACTCAGACCAGGTATAGACCTTAAGTGTAGTTTGACCTGTCTCTGTAGAGCAGGGGAAGCTGCATTAGAGGCATATTCTTAGTTTGCTTCCTCCTCTAACAAATAAACCTAATGTGCACTTATAATGAACCTCCATGCATGTCCTCTGCACCCCTCAGTCACTCCCAGAACACTGTAAGCCTTTGCTGTAAATCTGTTTAGCAAACAAGCAAAGTTAAGCAAAGATAAACCCTTCTATCAAAAGGTTGCTTCACTCTGTCAGTTATGGAATTTAAAGTGCAGTTATTTCCCCAGAAGCCTCAGTATCAGGGAAGTAATTCACTTCACAGAGCAGCTTCTGTAACTCCTGTCCCTCATTGTGCACTTTTCCTGCATAGGCTGTTCAAATTGCTGTCAACAAGAAGCTTGCTTACTGGTGGAACAGACAGTAACTACAGGTGAAGATTTTGTACACCTGTGGTCAGTGTGGACATACAGGTCACTTCATGACACTGTTGAAGCCCAAAAGTTCTGTCTGCTTGAATATTTTTTTCTTGTATGAGTAACAATGTTCTATATAGCATTGGGAATTAACAACTACACTGATTGTACCCAGAGGTTTGTGATTTTGCTCAAAGACACATCTGTGCTTAAATTTTAACTTTATACCATTGGTATAAATCTCCTCATGGAGATGGAAATGTGATATGAAGTTCCTGCCTGTGCTCCTGGGGACCACCTGTTTGCATGATGAAGCAGTAAAGAAAATGTGTCTAAGGCTCACATCTGCTTTCTTTAAATCTTATCAGTACAGTGCTCTGATTCCAGGCACTAATATTTAAACAAAATAAACACATAATTTTGACATGAGTTCACATACGCATGCACATACAGACTAGAATGTGAAATCAAACAAATGGTGGAGCACAATAACTGGAGTTACAGCTGCTCAGAGATTTGCTTTGACAACTGTGAGCATCCAGCCTCCATAAAATACTGGATAAACTCCATCTGCGTATTGCAGGCTGAATGCTGTCTCACCAGAAATGCTTCATAGATTAACAAGAATGATGAATATTCACTAATCACATCAGAAATAAGCACACCACAGACAAGCTATCTGACTAGATGAAGGTACTTATGGTACAAGCTCTATGTGCAGACACTTAGTAGTTATGGTGCATAGAAACTGCAAGTAGCTGTGTGATATCTCTGCTGAAATGCATTCTAATTAGCTGTTGTGTTTTGGGTTTTTTAAGGTTGATGGTGCTGAAGAATCCACCATACCAGGTGAAAATAAAGCAACCAGTAAGTTCCAGTCCATAGGAGTTCAAGTAGAGGAGGAGAAGTGGTGAGTAAAAGTTAATACTGTTTTTCTAAAGTAAATAATTATGCCGCAACTAATTTTTAAGAGCCCTAGTTCCTGCACACATGACCACATAAACCTGCTTCCTGGATGAATTGTTAGATCACCCAGCTGAAAAGCTGAGTCTTATAAATGTTGTAGCTCTTCCTTTTCAGAGGGGATTTTTTCAGGACCAGTGAGAGAACTGGAAGAGAAGTGCCACATATTTTCAGGGTCAATATACTTTTAATAAGCTCTTTTTCCCCAGAAAATCTACCTAAACAGCAGATGGTGATGCAACTGGAGTATCAATGGGGAAGTTTGCCTTGGTTTTCAGCAGAATAATTTCAGCCACGTGGAGCAGTGCAGTAACAGAGCCAAACTGATTGCTTTTGCTCAGGTATCTCACTCAGACATCTCTACATTACAATTGCTCACTTGCATAAAATTATTGAGATTTCAAAGCAAGCCTGTAAAACTCAGTTCTCTATCCAATCTGCAGTATGTCCTGAATTAGTAAACAAATATGCTCCAAGAAAAATTTAAAGAAGAAAAAAAACTAGAATAGTTGTCCTTAAGGGTTGTTTCACTCTGATGACAAATTGCAGTTACACTGCGAGGCAGCATAACTGTGCATAGCACTTTCCAGACACATACAGTTTGTGAGTGCTTGACCACAACTGCAAATCTTAATTTCTGCCCAAAACTGGATTCAGTGAATGAAGAAAAGCCAGACTCTCCCCTTGCCTCTGAGTGTGCAGGCCTGCCCAGTGCTGCTGCGGCTCCAAGCAGCCGCCCAAGTCTTTGTTCCCTTTTTGCAAGCTGCTTGGGCACAGCATAACTTTTGGATCCTGGAGCCATTTTCTTGACAACTCCCTGTACTAGACCATGTCATAGGAGAAGCCTCGGTGCAGTACAACTTGTCAGTGAGGGAAGAGTCACCTCTGCAATCTCTCCAGAGAAAACCTGGGTGCAGCAACTCTGACCTGACAAAATTCAGGCTCTCTGCCCTCCTCTGGCCTGCTGACTGCAGGAGCAGTAGTGATGTCCATTTTCACAGTTTTTCTTCTTATATTTGCTAAAAATACTAAAAATTAATGTATCATCTGCACCATTTTCAACTCAACTCAATCTGCCTGTAAAATACAGGAGAGTATTTTCCTGTGGTTTTAAAAGGCTGGAGTGATTTCAGCAAAAAGAAATGTGATTTTGCAATGACCCTGCTAGGCTGTTACCAAGTTCCTCATTAACCTGCTAAAACATTCTTGCTGGTAGACATTTCTTTATGTGTTAGACCTTAGCCCCATTTACTCGCAGCTCTTCCAGCACTAGATAAACGAGCACATTAGAATAGATGCTGAAGGACCATTTCACTTCAGCCTGAGCACAAAGGAAATAACTAACCCCAAAGCCCAACCCTCCCCCTCCCCGCAAAGAAAGAAAGAAAGGGCTGTTTGTAAATACCTTACTTCCAAAGTCCTCTTTCTACTGCAGTTTTTATTGCTACACTGAAAAGAGGTAAGATTTGCCTGTGAGGATCTGCCCTGAGAAAGCAGTATTTCTGCATTACTTACTGACCGCTGTGTTTGGGGGTTTTCTTGCTGATAAAGTTGAGTTTGCTGCTGTTTGGAGCAGACGGTCAAGCAGCAATCTATCATGGACTTTCAGAAGTGAACCGGCTGATAAAGGACAGCCCCTAATCCTTAGAAAATGAGTGCACTCAAGACACAAAGGGCTTATCATCACAGTTGGGCACTCATATTCTTTTTCTTTCCTACCACAGCAGAACACAATGTATTGATTATCTGTTACAGGAATAGAATTGTAAATACAGTGCATTCTTCACTGTCCCTGCACCATAACATCTGCAAAGCCTAAGAAAAGCCCTTTTGACTTGAATCTTTGAGAAATTGATGGTTCCTAAAATAGTCAAGACTTCAGAAATATTAAATAAATATAAAATAAGAAGAGAAGAATGACACAGCAAAGAGGATAAATACAGTAAATGGCTCATGTTTCCTTGCCAGTCTAAGCTATTAAGTGCACTGTTACCAAACAAGAAAGCTCTTTGCCTAATGCACCAAAACCCTACCACACTTTCAGTCCTCTGTTTCCTGTTTTTCCTTCCCCCTTTCCCTCACCTCATACAACTGTCAGTCTCACACTAAGGAGTCTTACCTCATGTTCTTATAAATATTCCTGTGCTTGGACCAAGTAAGCAAAAGATTTTGTCTCCATTTCTTGATCTAAGTAATTCAAAACCAGAGCATCTTCAGAGGACAGCTCTCTCTCTTCCATCTTCCATCTCAACTCAGACCTTTCACTGGCCCTTCACTCTGTAACCTGGGCTTCCTGCCAAGGCAAATGACTCTCAGTCCTCCTCCTCTTGTACTGCTCAAAGGATAAATGTGCCTACTGCTACCTGACCGTAATACAACTGGACCCATCAGTACTATTCATCTTGTCTTCAGTTCTTTATTTTGCCTGCTCTCCGTAATGTTTTCATGCCAATTCCCTAACTGCAGTTCTATGATTTCTAGCATTTATAGAGCACCTCTGTCCAGTCCTTCTCTTAGAAAAAAAATTGGCATGCGATTTTTCCAACCTCATGATCTTCATGCTGTTACTCTCTTATCTCTCACCTGATCTTCCCCACGATGCTGACAAAACACTAACCAAAAGATTCCTCCCCTTTCTTCACATGACCCTCCCCCTTCCAGGGCATTTTTAAATGTGTGTCTAATGAAGCTAATCAGTGCAGTCTCAGAGCACTTCCATTTCTGACCATTTCTGTTTGTCCTTCCTCTCTACCTGTGACATCTTCTTGACCTCAAGGGACCACCTTCCATTCCTCACTTACAGAAGATAGTTGAGTTGTTAGAAGTCAACCAGTTCTACTGAACCAGGAAAAAAAAAAAAGATGTAATTTAATGTGCCAGAACAATTAGCACACATCCATCTTAAACAAGGGGCTCTCATTCCCTTAGCTCTGTAATCACTTTGGTCTCTCTTGCATTTTACCTTGTCTGCCCCAATATCTCCTCCCATTGCATCCTCACCCCCAAAATTGTCTTGCTCATTGCTCTAGACATACCATCAGCTGGTAATTGTACTTGATTTTCCATCAGAAGAATTTTTGAATTCCACAGAATTCACACCACAGAAACAGTGGTGGTTTCTGAAGTAAGAACAATGCCATAGGAGGCTACAGTAGACAGACGATTCTTCTCCATCTTCTCTGGTTTCTGGGGGTCCAAGGAAGGTGCCCCCACATCTTCATGTGGTACAAAGTGCGGCTTACCACAGCATACCTCATGGTGTGGTATAAAGTGAAATGGTTTTAAGTAATGTTGGAGTAACAAAACAAACAAACAAAACCTCTGTGCTATTTCTAAAAGAAAAAAAAAGAAAAAAAAGAAGTCACATCTTTGGATTTTGCTACTATAGTAAGCCATTTTTTTCATTCAGGTTTTTTGGGTTTGGTCACTTACTGTCCTGACAAAATATACTGAGGTTTTAGTGTCTTACCTATGCAGTAGACCAGCCCTACATTCTAACTCAAACTTCTCCACTCTTTAGGACCAGACCCTCAATCTATATTTTGGGTAAGCTAAACTGGAACTGATACTTCCATGGCTTTTCTCAGCAGTGTTTTCTCACTATCATTTCACTAAGAAATTCTGAAGGTGGTAGATGCCCAATAACTGGAAACAATCAAGGTCAGGCTGGATAGGGTTCTGAGAAAGCTGATCTAGTTGCAGATGTCCCTGCTCATTGCAGGGAGGTTGGACTAGTGACATTTAAATGTTCCTTGCAAACCAGACCACACTACGATTCTATGATTCCCTCCTGGCTGCAAGTGTCTGAACTTGTATTCCTAATAGATCTCCCCATTTACTGCTAATGACCTTGACCTAGTCCTGTGTACTAACTCTCAACAAAGTGTTGCTCCCTCTTGTTCCAACTCTCCTCCCCAGTGCTGCCTAGAAAGTGCCACAAGGCAAAGGTTAGAACAGGTTGTTTATTTGGGGATGTGAGATCCCAGGAATGGTCTGCTCCTCTGCCTTCTGCAAACTCTGCTCTCAAAATGTGCCTAGCACAGGGTGTGTATTCACCATGGATGGTCTCCACAGGGGCCTCTTCCCTGCACTGCTGTGCTCCTGTCATGTTGGAAAGGGCCGGCTAGAAGAGATACCCTATGAATAGCTGGGGGTCAGCAGGGCAGTGCAGAATGGGAAGGAAGAGGCCAAGCAGCACTTGAACCTCCACCAGGTTTCAAAGGAGATTGATGGATGGAGTTTAATTGATTGGTCAGTGGCTGGGAGACATGTGCAGGCTGGCTTCACTAAGGTGTGAGCTTCCCACCTGCAACATACCTGGACACTGCTGAGGATCTTAGATGCTTTCTAAAGGCCCTTAAGGGCCTGGCCACATCACACTTGGACCCACGGCAGCAGAGTCTTGGGTGTGGCCAGACCCTCTTAGTTTGACAGGGTCCCTTCTTTGTGCATGGTCTGGGACCAGCGTTGCCATCGCACAGGTCTGCTGGAATTGGATCAACCTCCATGGACTCCTCCTGACTTTCTGGTAGGGTGACCTGCATGGGCTCTGTCCCATCCTCTGTGGCTTTGGTTTGCCAGCAAAGGAGTTTCCAGACATCCCCTTTGGTGTGGCTGATCTTGTAGTTGCCTATTGACTGCATTTGGCAGCTTTGTCTTGCATTGGGTCACAGCACGTAGTGGCAATCACTGTCTGAGGGAGGCTTCTCCACTCCTGTCTTCATCCATTTGCTGAGAAGCTCAGCAAGCAGTGGCCAGAGACAGCACTGTGACTTGATGGAACCCCAGGGTTCCATCGATGAGAAGGATAAAGGGGTGACACGTGACATCACAAGGCCATTCTGATGGCAGCCCAAGTGCACAGCTCACCGTGGGGCCTGTTGGCTGAGGAGCCTATGGCCTGAAAGGGGTCCCACCTGGGATGAGCAGAGTGCCTGGTGCTGAGGGTGCTCTGCACCTGCCCAGTCCCACACTGGTGGAACCCACTCCCCACACCCCCTCCCAGCCCACACATGCTTGGAGGAGGAACTGCTGCTCTGATCAACAGAAGGCAAAGCACACCCTGGCTCTGACATAGCCAATCTCCTTCCCCTGCCACAACTGCCCATAATCTGAGCAAACCCTTATAGCCCTGGTTGTTTTCAGCCTACTGGTGGATGGCTGCAAGCCTGGCCTTGGCAGAATTTGCCATAAATTTCTGTTCAGACTCTTCTGGTTGGCTATAGCGTCTCTCCTCCAGCCTGGGCCCCGACGCGCTCCAGCCAGCACCTCTGCTCTGCAATGCAAAGGCCAAGAATTGGCAAAAACAAACAAAACAAAACAATGTGATGTACAAAGATGAGCTGCTGTAGGGAATGGGGTTGGAGCAGGAATATTGTTCCTGCCATTAGAAGACATAGTACCATATTTGCTAACTCCTTCTGCAGTTTGTTTTGTTCTGCTGACAGCAGCTGCATCCTTGATTTTTCACCGGAGGAGGCCAGAACCAAGAAGGAGCACAGCCAGTGGGTAAAGTAAGGCAGGCTGAATTTCATATAAGTGCCTCTGAGATTCACCATGCATCAGTTGGTTTGAAACCTAGATCTTTTCTGGGGGTTTGTGGTGCTTTGGGGTTTTTAGGAAAGAAATAATTTCTCCAAGTTGCATTGTAAACATGTTTCACAAACGAAAACAGAAGACTTGGAACCTGAGAGCTGAATGCCAAAAATGACCGTGTCGTTGCTGTTCAAAACACATCGTGCTGTTGTTCTCCATACTGGTTTATCCAGTCTGAGGTTTCATGGCTTTCTGCACCTTAGGCCAGATATCTGCTGCAGTTCTGTGAAGCTGTAATCATTACACCTTGTGCCTGCAGGGCACAACTGAGTACAAAAGGGCTCAGCCTGAAAGCAGAAGAAGAAGCAAATCCCTGTTTTTAACAATTACCAGCAATTTATGCAAACTTTTATTTAGGTAGAATTACTGAAAACTTAAGCATTAGCTTCAGCAGCTCTCCTGTAGTATGGAGTTTTAACTGAGAGCAAAGCAAAAAAAGGCTCATGTGGGACAGAAATGGTATTTTGTAAGAGTAAAACATCCTGGAAATGAGTGAGGAAGCTGTGTCAGAGACTACAATTGCCGTCTATTAGGCATTTTATAAATGAACTGGAGGCAGGCAGACAGTGGATGCCTTCATGCATTTCCATTTTACTCAACATATATTTCCTTGGAAGTATATTTTTATTTTTGAACTGATGCTATATTCTGTTGCCAAGTTGTTTTTCTTTTAAAGACAGATAGGTTACATAATCCAGTGCCAAGGATCTGTCAAGCAAGCCTGTAGCATACTATTATATAGAGAGATAAAACAAAGGCAAAAAAAAAGTAGGTCATTCTATTTCATTTGTTAAGCAGAGTCTGATTTTGGTGGTACTAGCTCATATTGAACCCACTAAGAGTACACTCCTAAAAGATTTGAAATGTAGAGCCTCCAGCAATACATCCTTCTGTCAAGTAGACCATCCACATTTGGGTTTTGGTGTACTCTGAAAAGCCAGGGCATCAACTGAAAACACAAATGGTCATCTGAAACAGTGACTAGGGCACCGGGGAAAACAGAAGGTGGCTGTGATGTGGGGGTAGGGAGAAGAGTGAGCCTGGATTGAGGCATTTGCTTTTCTCTCCAGTGCCATGGAAGGTGTGGAAAAGTACACTGTATACTAATGCCTTGGCTCTCAGTGAACCCTGACTAAATGTCTGAAAAGATATCCTGTGTGAGCATGTGCCTGTGTGGGTACACACAGGTTTTTGTGTATGTGTTTGTGTGTGTGTATGCATGCACACACTTCAGTGCAGGTAAGGGATTTGTCAGGTCGGTGGCCAAATTAAAGCAATTTCTAAGAAAACTAGCATAGATTGGGCCAATAGATTTTCACTGTAATGTCAGACTAAAGCTATTGTCTTTCTAACCAAGAATAGCAGTATAACAGGTTTTCTCTGCTAGGGGCCAGTAGCAGATACTTAGGGAAATTATAAAGGAGTGTGTGTAAAGTATAAAGGGTGTTCTCCCAGCAGACATTCCCAATTTAGTATTCTGTTGTTCAGTGACTTCCCAAAACAGATAAGACATCTTGTGTAATGGTTCTTCTTGAATCTATCTCCTGTGAATTTGATCAGATTCTCTTTGAATCTACTTTTGCCTTTGGCTTTCCCATGATCCTGTAGCAAGTCAATCACACATTGTTCGAAGAAGTACTTCCTTTCACTATATGTCTTCAGACCTCTAAGTCTTATAACTGGCTGCCTTTGTCCCCAGTGCTATTACACTCTGAGAAGTGGTGAAACATCACCTACTCAGGATTTCACAGGTCTCTCATAGTCCTCCTCAGCTATTTATTTTCTAATCCTTTTCTCCTATGGATGTCATACCTTCTCTCCAATGATCCTTATCATCCCTTGTAACTTTTTTCTGCTGTATCAGTCCATAGCAAAGTGCTTTGCTCTGCTTCTCAAAGGATAAATACTACCAAGCTGCAGAGTTCTGCTCGCTCCGTATTTTTCAGTTTGCTGGAGCATATCATGCACAACTACAGTGGCACAACCATGACTTTTGCATTGTTTAACAACACCTGTTTCAAAAGAATTGCAAGCAGCAGGCAATATGTTAAAATGTTTGTATTCTAGACCATTATTAAAAAAAATGCACACAATCTATTATTAAAGTTTTCCAGAAATTGGTGTGGCTGAGAAGTTAATTTGAGCTTTCTTCTGCAGAGAAATTGGCTTTCTTTTTTTTTTAAATTGGAAACCCCTTCTCAACTCCTGTTTTGCTTTGCCCAGCATCTCTCAAAGTCCCAGATCAACAGCCACTAATTTCCTCTATCAGCAGGACCTATTTCAGTCCTCATTGAAGTCTGCTGCTCTCCTGAACTATCTGATGCACCAGGTATATAGGACAAGAAATTCTCCCTCAGCATCCTTCCATCTGCTCCCTCCCCAACTGCAGAATAAATATACTTGATGAAATTCTGTTGTCAGTTGTACTTGTCTAATTGGCTATTGGTCTCTAGTGGAAGGTGGGATATAAATTGAAAGGAGTGAAATGGTGCCTAGCATCCAGCTGCACCATCTCTTCAGCATTTTCACTGCTGCTTGAGCTCAAACTAAAAATAGAACTGGCAAGGGCAAAACAGCCAAAATATCACAGGGAAATGGGTCCTAACATTAGTTTCAAGTGTAAATGTGAGATTGTGAACGAATTAGAAATGAACTACCAGCTGCATGAGTGCACAGGCATCCATGTGCATGGATTAGTGAAAATAAGGGGTGGGAATCTGTCCCTGTTCAGTTCAAAGACCATTTTGAAACTGAAGGTTGAATGTGAAAAACGAAACATCTGAACACTGGAATGGGTGCTGAAGTTGTGAGAGATGATGGTGGTATTGGCATATATATAATTATGATGAGTAATTATGAAGAAGCAATGCAAAATACTTAGCTGGGTTAAAAATACTTACTTTTTGATAAAATGAATGTATACCATTGCATATATAGTAGACTCATTGATATTACTATCTTATCAATCTCACATGTATGATTTTTAAATGTGGCTTGTGAGTTTGGATGTGTAACTTCAAAGGGGTGTGAGTTTTAAATATTGAAAGATAAACAGCTTCTGAAAATTGGGCCACTTTAACTTTTCATTTATCAGTAACCTAAAATCCTGAGCTACTGACACTATTAGCAGTCTCTTGGGCTAGCCTCTGGCTTTGTTAAACCACACAACAATTAGGGTACTTGCCTCAATAAAGAGTCAGCTTGCATGGAAAAAGAGATGCTTGTTTGTTTGCTTGTAATGGGAAAAAACAGTTAATGCTGATAGTTAAAATTAAAAACACCAGATTGTAGCACTGAGAGGTGTGACTGCCAGTCTTAAGAAGAGTGGCAGAATCGTAGTAAGTCCTTCCTTACCTAGTTACCTAGAAAAAGCTTTCTAAACATTTTCTGTTTGTGCTTTCCAAAGCTTTCGCAGGTTTACACGATCTAATAGTGTAACAACAGCTGTGCAAGCAGACCTGGATTTCCATGAGAACTTTGAAATAATCGACCCTCAAGAGGACAATACATGTTCTGGACAAATATCAAGACAATTCTCCCGAGATGCAAGCACCTCTACTGTTAGCATACAAGGGTCAGGAAACCATTACCATGCATGTGCAGTGGATGATGACTTTGAGACAGATTTTGATCCATCAATTTTACCTCCTCCTGACCCCTGGATTGACTCTATTACTGAAGATCCTCTGGAAGCTGTTCAAAGGTCAGTGTGCCCACGAGATGGCCACTGGTTTCTCAAGCTACTTCAGGCAGAGAGAGATCGTATGGAGGGTTGGTGCCAACAGATGGAGAGAGAAGAACGGGAAAACAACTTACCTGAGGACAGTAAGTAACTGCGTACAATAATATGGCAACTGCAAAGAAGTATTTAATCTAGGTCAAATTTACTCTGGTGAATTCTGTATTGTGCCTTTTCTTATTTAGCTAATGAAGCTATGGTCATGATTCTCAAAAGGACTGTATGTATGTATGTAATAATGCTTATTAAAGCTGACAGGGAGTACAAATGCTCAGCACTTCTGAAACTCCAGTGGTATTAGCTTTTGGGATTGCGTAGTTCAACATATAATTAGGAGAGCATAGTTAGGGATCTTGTAGTATTAATGTTTCTTAACTCTTCCATTTGAAATCACTTCTCATAACTTGAGAATATAATTGAACAGATTCTGATTCCTTTTCATTAAATTTGCATTTTAGTCGCCTTTTTAGATAGTGATTGGCCTCAGAGTATTCAAACACTTCTCCCAGCTGAAAGAGATTTCAGTTATGCTTCCAAGTTGCTCTCCCTCTCTTCCCCTCTTCAGCCTCCCTTTATCTCCCTTGCAGTTCTCATCTGTCTTTGATCTTCCCAGTAAAACAAGCTCTATATATTCTGTGATAAAAAACACACACATGCAAACTACATCTCAGTTGTCACCACTGCTGGAAATATTACCCCACCTGTAAGGTAATGGGAATGTCTAGTCAGCCTTCATTACTAAGAAAGGTTGAGTAGCTCACATCTGGTTCAGCTGAACATGTGCTTCCCTGTCCAGAACTTTTTCTCCCAGTAAAAATGGAAGTTTTTTCCATTTACCTCCATTCCAAGTAGTAGTAGTATTTCTAGCTGTCAACTTTTGGACATAGGCAAAACTGTGTGCTTGGGAGCATGTTCCCTGTGAACGAAGCCTTACCAAATTCTAGCAAGGAGCTTTTAGAAAACACTAAGGAGCAACTGCATATAGGTAATTTGGTTTTGTATAATTCAGGCACACCTAGGCATATTTTCCTGGATATAAAAGTAATACTTTTCCAAACCCCAAATTCAGTCCTATCAAAGCAAGGACTACTACTTTAGCTCCAGGATTGCTTCTTCAAAATTTCTGACCCTTTCTTTCAAGAAGAAAAGTGTTTGAATTCTTCTGAGATATGAAGCATTTGATTTATTGAAGGAGAGGAATTAACAGAGACCAAAACCAAAATTTATGTTCTTAGAAATGCATAAGCCATTTCTGCTGGAACTTTCCATTCAACCCAATGAATGAAAAAGTTTGATCAAGACAGTCAAAGTTAGATTCTACTGTAAGCAACTGAAAGTTGACTTTTAATGCAAAGTGTGAGAGAACCTTCACATTAGGATATGCAAAGGTTTTCTATTTCTACAAAATTTCTGTTATATTATAGACTAACAATTTCTCCTGAAGGAAAAATATAGAAGGTTTGACCTTCAAAGCAGATCCAGATTGCCTAAGCTTTAGAATGTTTCAATGTAATTTTTAATTTACATCATCAATGCATTCAAAAATTTCTTTTAACATGTATAAAAAGGGTTTCTATTGTTGGTATGCAAGAAATAAATGTCATGAGCTATGAGATTTTAGATTGAAAAAGAAATGTGAACACATAACAAATAAGAAATATACAGATATACCATATACAGTAAGTCCAAGCCACAAAACCCAATTGCATTCTCTTTGCCACAACTGAGACTGGACGTAAGGAAAACATAGACTATGATGAGGGTGATGAGGCATGGGAACAGGTTGCCCAAAGAAGTTGTGGATGCCCCATCCCTGGAAGTATTCAAGGCAACATTGGATGGGGCTTTGAGCAACCTGGTCTAGTGAAAGATGTCTCTGCTCATGGCAGTGGGGCTGGAACTAGATAATCTTTAGAGGTCCCCTCTGGCCCAAACTATTCTGTCATTCTGTGAACGGATAGTATTGGAAAAACCTATAAATATTTCATTTGTGCACCAAAGTAGTTATTCACCTTGAGAAAAGAATTTTGCAAGGATGATAGGTGCACAACATGTCTGCCTGTGTACAGAATTTTCTTTCAGTGTCTTGGTGTCTTTGATATATGATAGTTTTAAAGGGCTCTTCTTTGAACAATTGGTGGGAGAAGGCAGTTATGGAGAAGATAAAGGAGTGGTTAGGCTGGCTATTCCCAGTGCCTCCTTACAGCACACATGGCGTGTGCCCTGTGGATTATTCTTCCTCATCATTTTTCTGACCAGCACGTCCTGTGATTGCTGGAAATGGGAGGAGGAAAGGGGTCACCTGGGTTTTGTAGTCACTGTTGAAGTACTGATTTCGATATGACGCTGTCAGTCACTCCAGCACGTGGCAGTTGCCTCCCACAGAGGCTGCGCAGGGCTTTATTTTGCAGCTTAGCACACCCCACTCTACCTGGTGCCAAGGAAAAGCATATGGCCAGGGCCACTTTGCCAGCTCAGCAGTGCCAGAAACAAAAGCCTGGTTGTTACAAACCCTGCAGTGAAATACATCTTTTTCATAAATCTATAAACTTTGAAGAGAGGGAGGAAAGGAGGAGAAGAGGTGTGTTTGCTTTGGTTTTCCTAATGAAATATAACGAGAGCAGGGAATGCATCCTTTGTTTTCAACCTGACATCCCCAGCATGTGTTTGGCCAGATAACAAAATAACAAGAATGTGTGATGAGCGAGGTTTTCTCGATGCCATGGCAGCTGACAGAGGGCTCGTCCCCCTGGTGCTCCACGTAAAATGATCCGCGCTTCCTCCAGACAATGCAGCCCTTGTGTGAAACAGCTGTCTCGGGGAGACGGCTCGCTGCTGTTTGACAGTAGCTTGTATGTTACATAGATACGTTGGGTATTATCTAGCTGGGAATGAATCTACCAGATGGGATTGAATGTTTCTAGCTGGGAAATGGAGTCTGCTGCTCTGTATAAAAACAAGCTGTGGTTCAGTAGCTGCACGATGAAATGCCAATATAAGGAGAAATGTGGCTCCCCTTCCGCCATGAATTATTTATTGTATATATATTCTGGTTTTATCTGAAATAATTTTCTGATAAAGTCACGGCATGTGTGACAGACAGATGAACACCGCTCACACTTTAGGCTCTAGGATACTTGATATGGTTTCCATGTATTGTGCTGTTGAGAAGTTGGAAGAGGAAGTTGACTACAAAGTCTAAGGCCCTCATTAAAAAAAAAAAAGATGTTACACATCTGAGGCTAAACACCTTGTGAGAGTTGACTGATTCTTTGAGTCAGGCCTGAAGTGAAATCAACTGTTGATGCTCTTTTTTTTCGTTTTCTCCTCAACTGTCTGCTTGCTCCTCCTACAAAATTTCAAATAGCCAGAGCCTCACCACTGGCATTGGTGCCTTTTGGCTTAGGCCCGTGTTGTAACCACTTATACACAAAATTAGCATCAGCAGGCCTGGCTCCCTGCACAGCTCGGACTGCTTTTTTTCCTAGCAGTAGTGAGACATACTCCTACAGCTTGGCTTTTGACAGGTTTTTTTGCTGTTGTTTGTATTTCCCATGGGGCTTGACCTTCTTGGAACAACCAAAGGGCTTCATTTTGCCCCACCACCCTCCTTCAGAAGTTTCTGTTTCACATGGGGTTGTACTGTGGCTTTGATGTGAAGATAACCATCGGAAGCAAACAGCAGGCCTGATTCACCACAAGTCAGGTGTAATGTGGTTTCGTGGTGAGACAAGCCAGGCCAATCAAGTAAGAACTAAATCAGAAAACCAAGGCTCTGACAAAACATGTCATTATAACTGTCTTGCATGTATATGATAGTCCTCTGGGCTAGTCTACAAACAAAAGTTGACCTCAAATCTGCAGGAACCTCACTGCTTAGGACCAGAGTCTACAAATTCAGCCAGTTCTGGCAAATTATGCAATGCTTACACACTGTCTGTTGGTCTGGTTTGTTTCGATTGTTTCAAAGGAAAACTTAAAGAGTGAAGGCTAGACACAAGAGAAGAAAGTAAAGGAAAAGGTACATTTTTTGTAATAGTTGTGCATGGCAAGAGACAAGGAGACCCATGAATTCACTCTCAGCCACGAGCAAGAAAAACCATTTGCCATTTCTCTGCAGGGCTTCCCCAGGCAATCCTGGCCCCTGCAGCTCTGAGGAGCAAGGCAGCCTGATCCTGCAGTGAGCTGGGGCAGCCATGCAGAGGGACGGTCATCAGCCTGACATGTGGCTGAGTCCTGCTGGAATCCCCTTGGCTACATGTCTCTGGCCGTATGCCCAACTCATCCTTTTCTTGTTCTGGTTTTCTTTTCTCCCCAGAAGGGACTTCTCTGCACACGAGGCTTTCTCCAAGGAAAGCCAGTGAGGAAAGCCCTACCAGTGTCCAGAGGCTAGCAAGGCAAAAAAAGCAAGGAAACGATCTTGTTAGGGGAAAAAAAACCCATGAAGTGTGCTAATAAAAGCCAAGTAAGTCAGAGAACACATGGAAACTGCTTTAATCCCAATGAACAGCATTTGCTCATGCAGACAGCCCTATTAATTTCAATGAGATCACTCCTGTAAGTATATATGACTCAAAGCAAGGACTGCTTCTTCCCTAGTTTGTTCCATTTGGCTGTCTTCTCCGAAATAGCTGAGCTTAAGACCTGAGTAGTAGCTTTAACTTTGAATTTCCTGGCTTTTGTCATGCTTGGCGTTATTTAAATGTAGGTCTGTCAACATGAATAGGCTAAAATGCTGGTCCATCCTGGCTTGGAAATGGATTGTGACAGCTCTGTGGCAGGATTGCTTCATATGCATAGTGCCCAGCCAACATCTGCAACGCAAATGTCAGGCTGTGTCCCTGTAATTTCGGCTATTGTTCTTGCCACTTGCTCCCGGGGCAACGAGCAAGTCCCTGGTATTCTGTTCCCTTGCTTCTGCCCTGCCTATCAACCAGGTGTTTTCACATTAAGGGTACTTGATAGTCACAATCCTGAAGTGACTCCTTTGTCACTTGTTAGTCCCTGGGGCCTGTCAAAGTTGAAATGCAAATACATCAGTTGGTGTTTTAAGGCTAAATGATGCTGCCCCAGCTCAAGACTCCCCTGGCTTTTACGTGATGACTTTTCACATTGCTTCAGGTGGTTTTTGTTATTTTCTTATATTTTGTTATTCTTGTTGCACACACAGTCACCTTCCAAGGTAGAGCAGATGACAATAACACCATTTTTTTTGCTTGTGTTCCCAATTCTTTTTTTTGTTGCTTCATTTCTTTTCCTATGAAGACATGGTGGAGCAGATACATATTGCTCTAAAGTTTTAAAGCAGGTCCTACGCAATTCTTAGAACTAAGAGAAGCAAGAACATGCAGCTTGAGCAGCACATAGTCCATGCCTATCTTAAAGAATGTTTTAAAGGAGAACATGTTGGGGGGTTAGAGACACGAGGAAATTCACTGGCATGTGTCTATCCCAGAATAACATTCTGCAACCCCTAGTTAAGAACAGTAATAGTGAGGAGGCACTCCACAGCAGCGGAATTCCATCAGAATAGCTATACCGAAGCTATTCTTCCAGAACAGACATAACTGTCTATTTCTTAAAAATTGTCACAGGAGAGAACTGAATTTACAAGGAAAAGAGGTCAAAGCAAGGAGGGAGGGAAAAAAAAAGGGGAAAAATTCAAACTATAAAAACAAAATACTGCAGTATACACACTTCTCCCTCTGGGGAAGGGGTGACAACAAAGCATATGATGGATGTTAATAATGTTGCTTAATGCATTACTGGAAGGCATTCAGATCCAACAGTGCTGAGTGTGCTGGATAGCCCTGTATGGAATAGAAAGCAGACATGAATAACATTATATAGGTGTTTAAATCCATTATGATTGCATCTTGATGGGTCGGGATTTTTTGTTGCTTGGTTTTATGTTTTGTTTGCATCCTATTAGCTGAACACATCAATTTGAATGTTTATATGTTTTTCCTCCTGGACCCCATCTCACTTGCTCTTAAAGATTCCTCTGATTCTATTCTGATGTGTTTTATCTTTGCAATTCTATTTATTTTCTGGGTATTTGGCTTCAAACCTTGCAGGCTTTTCTTCTAAGAAAGTATTGGTCTGGTTTTACTTTTTGCTTTTTTTTTACTCCACCTTGGCTTTTCTATTTGTCACCAGAGGTTTTGACTGCGTAAGCAAAATGAACACTGCCTTGAAACACGAAAAGCAACGTGGGTTTGGAAACAAAACTCAGGCTACTGATAAGGCTTTGTGCCTTCTGGAGAGATTCCTTTCAGTTTCCCACATGCTTTGGTTTTTTTTGGTTTTGTTTTCCCCCCCTAACTTCCGTGACAGAGTTGGTTGTTGACGGGTTGCACATTAACAGACCCCTTGCTTTTGAGGGGCAAGGAATCAGTGACACTTGACTAGATACAGCCGCAGCTACAGCAGAAGTGGCAACAATAGAGAACAGCATCAGCATGCATCCCGCAGTCAGCTGGGATGATGGTTTTTAGGCAAATAGCCAGTCGCTAGGCAGCCAAGGACAAGGACTTCCTTTTCCCTCTGCTGAGATCCCTGAATATTAAGCTCTTCTTCTCTGAAAGAAAGGGGCACATTCCCATCCATCACCAACAAGTTGTATTTGCATTTCTTCTTGCTTGGGACGTGATTTCCAACTCAGTTGGTGCAGGTTTCCAGGAAGAGCCCACCTCATCTTTTTTTTTGTCCCAAAAAGTCGAGAGACTGTTTTTTCTCCTCTTCTCAAGTCTTGGGAAGCATCAGAGTGGCCGAGCTCCAGATGAGGCAGCTGTTCCCAAATATACTCAGTGGGAAGAGTTTTCATAACAATGGGAACCACATGAAAGCTCCCGGAGTAGCTCCTCCTACTATTGAAAAGTCCTTTCAGTTGAGTGGTTTGCATATTGGGTTGCATAAATGACTAGACACACCAAGGGGTCCATTTTCAGCACTGTGCGCATAGAATTAGACACGCAAGCCTTGCTAACAATAATGAGAGTTGTGTGCAAAACTCCCTGCGCAATATGCTGAAAATATTCTGCTTAGTGAATCTTCCAGCTCACGGCTATTTCCTGGCAGTGCTGAGATGAGTTCTGGGAACAAAATGAAAGTCTGGGCTCTGTGTGTGTTCACAGAGCTCTCTCCTATAGTTTCTGAAAAAAAAAAAATGTGAAAAGACTCTCTCTTCCCTCCCCTTTTTTTTCCCCCATTGTGTGTCTGAAGTATAAATGAACTCCACATCCCACTTTTCCTTCAGCAGCCTTAAGAAGTGAGCTTTAAGGCTGCTGAAGGAAAAGCCATTTGCCTTGAAGGAGCAGCACACAGATTTCGTATTACAGTGTGTCTGGTTTCAGTTCATCATGACTGTTTGTGCCAGTCTGCTTAGCGTGTGGCTACACAAGTGAATCCCTTGGAGATGCCTTTCTTTTACAAGCACTGCATGGTGGCATTCTGGTCACAAGCACTTCAGCGAGTCACAGGACCAATGAGACTTTAAAAATATTGTTAGAATGGCTTATAGCAAACTTATGTGTACTTATGTACTTATTTATTTATTTTTCATTGTGGTAAATCAAAATACTTAGCAGTATTTTCCCAGTGGAGCTCTGTTAACGCTGTGTTAGCTTTTGTACAAAAAGTGGCTATGCCTGAGGGATTATGCAGAAGATGGCAGTTTAGGACTAGTATCTCTTCTAGGTTCTGCCAACAATTCACACACATTGAGCAGCCAGGCCACTTCATCTCTTTGTTTTTCCTGTTCCTTCTTCACGTGTCTCATATACCCAAGCTGTAAATTTGTCATGGAAAAGTTTCTGTGCGTATTTAATGGCTGGGACAATGCAAACACCTCTGAGTAGAAACAATAGTGAAAATTGGGACACAGTGGCTGCCATTCATGTTTTTCATTAAGGAAGCGGTAATATTTTTTTACATTAATTAATTTTTTAATCAGTTGTTAACCAGAGAATTGGGGATAATAAGTTGCTTTTGGCCAAGAAGAAAGATTAAAGATGCAGCAAGATGAATCCATGATGCCAACCTGTTTATTTAAAGACAGTGAATATAGCATAATTGGTTTGTTTTTTTCTGAGCACTGAAAGTCTCAAACAATCTGGTAGCTGCTTTCTTGCTCATAGCATCAATTTTCTTTCAATCAGCAGTTCCCAAATTTGCACTTTCTTTTCTGGATTCAATGTCTTACTGCCAGCTGATTCCACATCTGTCTTTCTGCTGTGTTTCTGCATTCTTGCATGTTTTTCATGTACACACATGTGCACACTTGTACAGGTACACACACACAGAGTGTCCCCCTGGAGCAGAACTCAGCAAAGCCCCAGGGAAAGTCTCTGAATGCACCAGTCTGTGCCTCGGGTTTGGGTAGTATGTTCCCAACTACCCCTTGCAGCAAAAAACCCCCACTGTCTCAGTGAGGTTGAGTGCAACCAGAACAGTATGAGCTCCTGTTTTATTCAGAGACATTTACTATGGGGCTGTCTTCTGGTTCACTGCAGCCCTTCACAACCCTCGGTCAGTCCAAAAAGGGCAGAAAGTACTCAGCTGTCTGTACAAAGGAGTCCCCAGACAGCTCAGGAGCTGGGCTAAGACTCTTTGACACCTCCCTTCAGGTCACCAGCAAGGAGGAGAGGCCAGGGTGTGATTGCTTTCTGAACTACGCCTGGGCATCTGAATTCAAAGGCAGAAGCAGCCTCAAATTGTGCTCACAATAAATACTCAGAGGGTCCAAGCAAGATTAACTGGCATGCAATAAAATAATTGTTCCCTTTCTGGGGGTCTGATTGAGCAACACTCAGGTACACCTGACAATGAGGCCTGAGTTGCTAAGTGAAGTGTAGAAGGCAGACAGGGTTTGAGAACTGCATGTCCTTGTGCAGGGAGCTGTGTTTATGTTCAAAGCCTGAGCCTGGGTCACAGTGATGATGAGTGGTGTCATTTCTGGTGAGCTTTCTATATAGTCTGCAAAAGCTTTTGATTAGCCACATTTATGCTGTCATTACAACTGGTTACAACTGGTCTCACTGCAGGAATGAGAGTAAGATGCAGCAACAGAGGAGTATTTTTCCTAGTGCAAATCTGGCCTTAGATTTATCAGCTTCTCTCTAATCTGTGACTGAAAGATAACACGCTTTTTGAAAGGCAGAGCTGACTACTGCACAGCTTTCTCCTCTCTTTTTATAGGCTTTTAGTTGCCTTCAGCAAAGAAAGCATTGTGACTGACTTCTCTTTTTCTCTCAGTTCTAGGGAAAATTCGAACTGCAGTGGGCAGTGCCCAGCTCCTCATGGCCCAGAAATTTTACCAGTTCAGAGAACTTTGTGAAGAAAACCTGGTATGTAACTTTTCTGCTAGACACTGTTACGTGTGTTTTGCTAACACTATGAATAATCTTACATAAACCAGACTGATTTTCTGACTAACATGGCAGTTTTTCCAGTTAAGGCCTTGATATGAATTTGGGAGTAACTCAAACTTGTCAGAGTCAGCAAGAGTTTCACAATAGCTTGAGAGCTTTAAACTAATGACAGGTAAAAACTTTGGGTGAAATATAATTGAGGCCCTGCTACTGACTTCAGAGGAACAAGGATTTGTCCCTTGACAAATCCTTGTTTGCATGGGCACACAGAAGGTTAATTTGACAAGGTCACAGGACCCTTGAAACCTTGCTGACACGGACTGGTGTAGGGACTCCTCAGCATTTATGAAAACTCATTCTTGAAGTGAGTGTATGCAAAATCTCATTTTATTTGAAGAGTTTCAATTGGGAACCAGCTTATAGAGACACATCCTGTAGAAAACTTTCCCTCATACAAACCTTGCTGGTGGAGCAGGGATTGTTTCATGTATAGCCACTGCATGCAAAAAATGTTCAGAGCTGTGCTGCACTGAAGGGACCGAAGGTGGGACAGGAGTTCTTGGGTCACCAGCCTCTGACCCAAGCTGTGCTGAAGATGCTAACTGTTCAGGTGTGCTCCTCTGAGCAATACTCTCGGGCTGATGAGGTTGCACACACAAAGCAGTGCTCCCCACCTGTGTCCCAGTTTCATTCTTCCCAAAAATCTAGCTGTAAAAATGGGTTTACTGTGTTTCTGTATGTTCTCTTCTGAGCTGTTCACCCTGCATAGGTTATTCTTGTTAAAAAAAATCATCAAGAAATTGGTCTGAGATGTGTAAAGTACAATTTTACTTGAAATGGTGTATTTTTTTACACTTCAGGTTCTCAGAATGTGGAAAAAAAATGTTCACAGATCAGTATCTCACTATTTGTACATGCAGCAAATGTACATTGCACAGGTATCAGTCTTTTTACAAGTATGAACACAGCAGGGAATCCTTCCTCATGGAAGTGAAGACATGGCTGGCAATTAATTTCAGTGCAGTTAGGATTATCACCAGTTGTGCCCAGGAACATCCCTAGGCAGACCCTGCCACAGGGGACCTGACACATGCCCTTTCCCCCTAGTCTGCGGGGGGTAGCTTCTGCTGAGTGGGGGCTTGCAGGGGCACAGCAGATCAACACGAGCCAGTCTCCTTGAAATAAAACCTGCCAGTAAGTAGAGCTCCGCTTTGCTTCTCTCTCTGTGTCTCACCGATCGTTGGAATCTGCTGAAACTGCTTTGCTAGTGAGATTCGTAACCATTTGCACAAATGCTTTACATTAAGAAGTACTAAAGCCAACATGTTTTTTTCTTCTGTTGCACAGAATCCTAATGCACATCCACGACCGACCTCCCAGGATTTAGCAGGGTTTTGGGATATGCTGCAGTTGTCCATAGAAAATATTAGTATGAAATTTGATGAACTTCATCAGTTAAAGGCCAATAATTGGAAACAGATGGATCCTCATGACAAGAAGGTAGAACACTGTAGATTTTGTATGCTTCATTTAAAACCCTGCACAAATACTGGACAGATTAAATAGGCCTCTGTGTTACAGCGTTGACGTTAAAAATGTGAAATGAAGCTCATATCAAATTAATTTCATTGTAATAACAATGTTTACATAATAATCATCTGGGATATTATCTGTAATATGTTTCAGGCATATTTTTAAACCAAATCTGTCTTTGTGAATCGGATAATGGGAATGTGGTACTTGTTAAGCTTTACATTTAATCATATTAGATGATCAATCGTTGGAAGGAACTGCCTTATATATTGATTCTTAAAGTTAAATAAATCACATTTACGGTTCATATTATTGCATATAGCAAGAGTTCTAGGTTGTGTTACTGAAAAAACTAGGGAAGCACTGTAAGCATCACTGATGTTGGTAACCAGATTGCAAATAGAGCAATATCAAAAATATGCCTTCCAAAATGCTACATGAAAGAACTACATTTTTTTGTCCATTTGTTTGGTTTTTATTTATTTTGAGCTTTTTTAAATGGGTGATTTCACAGACATTCTCTTTGCTGGTAGTGTTGTTTACCCAAGGTAGCATAATAATCATGTGGAGCTTTGGTCTTTTTTTTTTTGGTAAATGTAGTCTTCTGTCACTGTGAAAAACTACCACATCTCCAAGTGTGAGCCACATTTCACTTTCCATTCTCATTTGGCACCATTGCCTTATTTTTCTCCTCACTATCCACCTCAAGACAAACAGCATTTGGGTGAGCCCAAATACACAAATGTTTCAGAAAATCCTTAAAACACAGACCCATTCCTAGAGGAATCAATGGTCTAATGTCGCGCTTCTGTAGGTATGTAATTTGATGGCTGAATTTCCGCTGTGGCTGGTCGGATAGCAATGAGTACAGCCAACAGGTAGGGTCACCAGAAGGAGGGGGAACATGACTTAGAGGTACAGTGGCTCAGGCAGGAGTCCGGGCTACCCCAACATACGGTCAGCTGGCTGCCGATGACCAAAGTGGTGTTTTCTTTTGGACAAATAACCATAATAATATCGAACCCCATTAATCTTGCAGCAGGAAGCTTGTAAAGGCAGTGCTGGTAGCACTCTCCCTCCTCCTCCAATCAAGACTATATACTCATTCCTGACTTAGGAGTGCCATGTTCACACCATTTGTGCACACCTAGTGTGTTTTGTAGGGGAATGAATGGGAATGTGTTTTCCTAGCCCAAGGTACTGAAGGCAAGTCATTTTCTTATCTTCTTTTTTTTCCCAGTATCTATCAGAAAAGGAAGTTAAAACTGCCAAACCTGCATGCACATAAACACTGGTGTATGGTCTCTCATTAGCTTTTACAGTAAAGCGGGTAGGCTGAGTGTTTGCAATTGCAGCAGTAAGAAATGAGAGCTTCCCTTAAAAAAATGTGCCTTTTCTTTGCTTCTGAAAAACATTTCAAAGAGTTTCCAACAAAAAGAAGACTATAACGGGTTAAAGGAAGTTAAGTAGTGCTGAAGAAAGGGACCTACTGTAGGAAGGTAAAGATTTTAAAGAATTACACTGTGTTTCTGTTTCAACAGCATTTGTCTGTGATTTTAGATGAAACAGATCGTCTCCTTTCTTAAAAAGGATTAAAAAAAAAGAAAGAAGAAAAAACTTTCTGTGGTATTGATATTTGCCTTTGGCCTTTGCCACTGGGCCCTTTTTAAGCAGCATAGATTAATCCTTGGATGGAGAGAAAAAGCAAAGTATGAATAAGTGTAACTAAGCACCTTTATATTTCAAGCCATGGAAGCTGTTGTGAGCAGCATGAGAGAAAACGAAAGGGCAGAATGGGACCTTTGTAGTGTGATAAAATCCCTTCGCTCAGAGACCGTGTTCACAGTTGGAAGGGGATGTAACTTAAAAGACAATCTAATTAACTTGACAAAGTCTTTGTGGCCGCCTGTAATTCGGTCCTGAATACACTTTTATTTTTGGGAGTGATCCCTTTCTGAGGGGTTTTTTTGGGGTTGGGTTTTGTGTGTGTGTGTGTACATGCACCAGGATGTACATAAAAGTCCTCCTTGTTGATCACATATCTGGAGCTAGCCGCCACCATGATGACTAATGCATGTTCTCTTAACGGTTTTTAAATGTTTCCTACCATTTTTTTTCTATTTCTAGCTGATTGTAGCTGGTCGTGCTGATTTAGCAGGAGGCTAGAGTGTATGAGCTTGCACAGTGAGACCATGGGAGTTTTGAGCAGTCATTAAACTGCTACAAAGTAGATACATTAATATATGGTTTATCATTCTGATGCACCAGCTTCAGACAGCTGGTTCCCATCTGCATTTGGGAATGCCAAAGCCATGGTACCTCCGTGTTGCAAGAGCACCTAGTATTATGCACGCATAGGAGAGGGTGGCCCAGGAAGTTGGGGCTCTCCAGAGTTCCTCTGCCAAGAGCGGCGATCCCTCCTGAGCCACACGTGGCTGTGCTGGTCGTGGGAGGCTGGTCTCCTTTGTAGTCCGTGGCACCTGGAGGAGATGCCTGGACCTCCCCACCCTGGGGAGTCACACTAGGTGGTTAGTGGTGGGGGCCTCGGCCCCAGCAGCACCGTCTCTGAGGAGAAGTAGCACTGCGGCTGGTCTTCCCCTCCCCTTTGTCCTTGACCTATGTTTATGAACCCTTGAGCACAAAAGCCAGTTGACTGAAGACAGAAAGGCAGATAAGAGCTAACAAACCTTAGGTAAAATGTGTGTTCTAACTACTGACATATCCTAGTTTTTCCCACCTTTCCCTGAGAAGCTGTATAATGCCATTAACCTTCTGCTTTGATCAGGAGAGAAGGGTCCCTCCTCCAGTGCCAAAGAAGCCATCGAAAGGTCAGGTGCCACTCATACGAGAACGCTCTCTGGAAAGCTCGCAGCGTCAAGAGGCCCGGAAACGGCTGATGGCTGCCAAGCGCGCTGCATCGGTCCGCCAGAACTCAGCTACCGAGAGCGCCGAAAGCATTGAGATATACATCCCCGAAGCCCAGACCAGGCTATGAAGGGATCCAACCGGGAGGACTCTCTCTGGCAAGACAAGCCTCATGTATAATCTGCCCCTCTAGGCTCCTGCTCAAGGTCACCATGAAGTATTTGTACCTCCTCCTCTCTCTCTCGCTCTCTCTCCCCTTCTCTCCCCCTCCCCTCTCTCTGTACGCAGCTGCCCCGATGCTCCCAGTGAACTCCACTGCCGTGGCGTAGTTGTCGGTCCTCCGAGAGATGTCCTCTAATCACCCTTGCTTTCTGAAGGTTCGCCCATGTCATCACGATGCTTTGTCACATGTACTGATGCTGCCACTTTGCCTCATGTGAATGAGTACGATCCTTTTTTTTTCTGTTTGAAACAAATAAATGCAGCACTCAGACTTCCACACACCCGCGCACCTGTACAGTAGATGCTCCATTTAACTTACTCATGATCTTTAGTTGACCTAAAGCTAGTCTGTTACCCAGTGTACAGCAATATCAAACTGTAGGGGACTTTGGAAATTTCAGTCATGCAGGGTGATCCTTTTGGACTCTGCCGTCTTCCTTACAAAAGATGAAAGGAGCTATGACTCAGATTCCCTTCTTTTTATTACTGTTTTTTTTAAAGCAGATGGCGCACTTTATTCTAAACCTCTGACTCACACCTTCTCACCTGAATTAAGGAGTCACACAAGGGGAGGGGGCTGGGGTGGGAGTGGGGAGGGGGGAAAGAAAAAAACCCCACAGCTCTGGCAGGTGAAAAAGTGGAAGTATATCCCACAGGTGAGATGTCAAGGGATAGAAAAGATCCTATGGAAAGATACCTGCACACTCACAGCTGCACAAACTGCCTCATTTTTATTTCATCAATCACTACTTAAACATTTCAATCAGCAGAAGATTGTAAATTCGATCTTCCAGGGAAATAATCTATTTTGAAAGGCAATAAAAGAGTGAAAAGGAAGGAGATAAGAAGAAATGACAGTTGAAGAGATAATTTAAAGGAAGGATTTTCTTGTCCAAGTATTAAGAATTTTTAAAATTGTACTGTATTGTCAATTCCTCTTGTATTGTATTGTATGGATTATATTGGTTAAAAAAAAAAAAAAACGAAAAAAGAAAAAAAGCTTGTTTTTGTTGATGTCTTAATCTCGGTGGGACCATCTAATCTCATACGTCCACGCAGCCACACATGGACACCTGTAGGTGAATTACTGTACATGGAGCCTCTGATGCTTTTCTAGGCCAGGCTTGCTTTGCTCTATCCACAGCCGGTTGTATGCTACAGTTCAGACTGCTTATCACCAAACCATCCATATCTAGGAGTAAATATCTAATTCAGCCTCCTCTAATATAGGATAAAGTACCCATCTGAACAACAACAATAAACTGTTTTTCACAAGTTATGGGATCAATATGAACTTAATATTTTTCACGACAAGCCTTCCTACCCTGGCTTCTGCCATTGTTTCGCAATCACAAAAAACATGCATCCCAAGTAGCCCATTGATAGTGGGCAGAAATGGCAGATAACAGGGCTGGAGAGGAGCCTGAGAGGTCAGCCACTGTGTGTCTGTCCCACCGAGCTGGGTAGGGGCTTGTCCTCCAGCTCCTCTGACAAAGAACGATGCTGACCACGCTGCTACCAAAATGTCTTGTGCCAACATTAGGAAAGCTATGTCAGGCATGTTGCTGAAAGCAAGTTGTGTGCGTGTGTGTGAGTGTGTGTGTGTGCACACACGTGCCTAGCTGGCATGTGCTGCTGACAGCACAATTAGCGTGAGCTGGTTTGGATGACAGGACTGGTCTGGGCCAGAGGAATGCTGCGCGGCCCCCAGTGTGTGTGCAGTCCTGCGGCAGTGCTTTCCAGACCCTTCCACTGGTCCTTACACGCTCTTCACCCCATCTGCCAAGGCAGGGGTATGTGGGAGAGGAAGGCAGTCTGCTTTCAGCTCCCAATAGGCACAGGCACAGCCTCCCCATGGAGGGGCATGGGGTGCAGCTGTTGCTGCACTCAAGTGCTGGCTGGCTGTGCCCATAGCTATTAAACCTGTATGGACAGTCCAACCAGTTAAAAAGCCCACTGCACATGTGGTGTAATTCTGCAGCTTGCACTTAAAAAGCATTGAAAATCGTCATCAAAAAGTTAAGCTCTTGCTAAAACTATTCATTGAGACCATGCCAGACAGCTTCTTTTCCTACGACGTCATAGCCAGGTGCTAATTTAATTTTATTCGAGAAAATAGGAGAGGTAATAGGTTCTGGCACCAAGTATTTTCATGAGAGCATACTAAAACCACTAGAGAATTTGCTACCTCTCAAAGCCATCGATATCTGAGCTATGTCTTTATAAACAGGGCACAACTATTTACTGCTGTGGTTTACAAGATAAGGGCTAATAATTTAATATATAAAAGACTTTTAACTAGAGTAATCAGAAATCCAGTATAACCCTAGAGTGCTTTGTGTTACAGGAGCTTCGAAAGGTTTGACCCTCTAAGCGTTTGAATACCAGTGTATTTGCTAGTTTTGAAACACTGCGTTCAACTTTTAGCAGCAACAAGACATCACCGTGTTTGCAGTATGTAATAGTGCCAACTGCCACTTTTGAGCATATATAATCATAGGAAGTATTAATTATTTGGAACTCATTTGTACTGAAGTAGTCAAAGCAGTACCCAGGTGAGAGTCCACATTCACAACTGTGTCGCAGACTTACTTAGTTTTGTGAACGTTTTATGAAAGATGAGTTAAGAATTTGGTTGACAAGTGGCTACAGAAATTTATATCCAGCAAGTTCCCTCCTAAAAAAGCAGAAAAGTGAAGACTATCTAGTCTTGTACTTTACAAATTATTGCATTTGTATATCATAGAATATTTTTCTTATCTATTTTAAATGAATTTATTCTTAGCTGAATGCTTGTTAGTTCATTTGGCACCGGAGAGGTTATTATAATGTTTGCCTATTTTTTTAGCAAAATATTAAAAACACAGCAAATACCAGAAAATATAAAATCAAATAATTCTGCCCCTAGAATGCCACTAGTTAACCACTTGACTCATTTACCAACACTAATGCTAGTATATTGCTCCATCATCTGTTTTAGTATAATTTGTAACTATTTGTTTTTAGTCTAACCGGCCCAGTGTATATTAAAAATGCCTATATTCTCTTTCACTTTGGGACTAAACTATTGCTTTTTTTTTTTCTTGGGGGAAATTTTAGAAAAGGTTGTTTTTGTCTCCTGCTTCAAAAGTTTAAAAAAAAAAAAGAAGTATTTATTATATTTTTTGCAGATGTTTCCATAAAATTCTCATAATCTTTTTGTAAAGAAAGCTGAAGAAATGGATTAAAGATTTTTAATATTTGAAAAGGTAAATAGAAATAATTTATTTGTAATATATTTCAGTTTATTTATTGGTGTTCCCTTAATGCTTCAATGTGCACTATCTCTTTAATTTAAACTGTATCTTTGTGAATTTATTGGGGCTTTTTGTTTTGATTTGGTTTTCTTTTTTAAGGAAAATGGTCAAATGCGTATTTTAAGTAACTGGAATGTAAATCACTGGCCTACCTGCATTCCCAAATGTGATTTTAAAAATGTTTTTGATTTGAAACAAAAGACAAATTTGAAAGCCTTTAGACAGAGGAGAGTGTTTTTATGGCTTAATGATTTGGGTTTCCATAGGATTATCTATCTGGTTTGTGTGTGGACAGGAAAATGTAAATAGATGAATGTTTCCCATAATGTAAAAAGAGCAAATTAATAAAATAATTAATGCACTGCTTGTAAGAGCTGTGGGTTTTCAATGCAAATTCATTCTCTCAGAACTGCCAAGGCATTTCATTTGATGTGGTCAAGGATAAAAGCACAACAAGCAGAATGTTTCTCTTAAGCTCTCATTGCTTAAGACTGATCCTGCAAAGTCTCATTCGAAGCGTCCTGCTGAGTGCCCTGGAAGTGCTCATCTGCACAGAGTTGCTCACAGGCATAAAAGTTGCCGTGATCAAGGCCTTGAGCCTTAGCAAAATCTTCAAAGACACTTCTGCACAGAGCCCAGCCAAACCCCGCCAAAGATGCCAGGAGTTAACGCTGGTGACTTCAAAAGAAGTGGCGAGAAACCCCCAGTTTGTTTGGTTTTCCCCTCGCTGGCTCTCTTCATCTTCTGCTTGTATCTCCAGTGATGGCTGAAATTTGGGGGGCAAAAGAGATCCCTGGCAGGCGTAGCTGACTTTCCCTTCACTGGAATCCTGCTTCCAGATGGGGTTTTTCCCACTGTGTGAAATAAAGACAGCTCCCAAGTCCCAAAGAAATGTATTCCAGATGATGTTGTTCATGGCTATACCAGTATTTAAACAGGTCCTGATTCAGCCTGTAGAGCCTAATAGTTACATTAACAGTGTGCCAGTGCTGCACCATGTAGTGTCTGCCCATGTTTAGACCCTCAGCACAGAAGATCAAAAACATTTGTGCTAGGGATATATGGGCAGGGAAATTTCTGCTTACCATCAAGATGAAGGGATTTCTCTTCATCTGCTGGAATTTCTTTCTGAGGTGTCTGCTGCCTTTTTGTAATGAGAATAGCTCAGAGGGAATAAAATAGCAGATACCTTTCACGCTGTTCTCCAGAAGAAGAATGAAGAAGTCCAAACCATGGCTCAGCCCTGCCATTCATACATGGGTAAGGTAAACTTTATCCCTATTTATACCCGATGTTCCCTTCCAGTTCAAATCAGGAGCCTTCCCCAGAAGCATACCTTGTTGTCAGTTTGTTTGCCAAAGTCTGTTCTCTTCTGCAAGACATTGTTTTCACAGCATGCAATAGGTAAATAATACATTTCAACTGTCAGTTTGGAGCATGCTCACCTATCAGACCTATTCAGAGTTGCTGTTGACTTTGAGCTGACATATTTTAGAGAAATTAATGATAAAAGTATTGGCTGTTCTGTTATTTGTATTTGTTGTTGAAGTCTTAGGTTAATACATGATTTGGAGTGCAGTCAGCAAGTGAAGCACTCTTCTCCCACTATGCATCACTTAATGGGGTCAGGTCAGCCGCACTAGCTGTGATGCAATGGTGGTCTTGCAAACCTGGGCCCAGCACCCACAGTTGAAACCTACTTATCCCCTTTCCCTTTAGTCTGATGCTATGCCAGTGACCTAAAAAACATTGCTGTCCTGTCACAGCAAGCTCATTCACAACATCTTCCTATCCCCATGCGTTTGTACTCAGCGGGGAGGTTTTTACAGCCCCTTTTCTGCGCGGCTGCTTGGCCACCGTTGTGGCAGGAGAAGGTAGCTGCTATCACTTGATTCATCAGGATGCATTTGGATGCCAGCTGCAAAACATGACGTGACTGGCCCTTCCAGCCAGCAGTCAGGCTTTCCCACGCTTGGGTCCCGTCGGCGGACAGCACCCTTTTCGGTAGTGCATGTGATTACAGCGGGTCCTCTATTGCTCTGTGAGTCACATGCCCAATTCGCAGTGAGACAAAGGGACGAGGAAAGGAACAGGGCTTCCTGGTAATTGTGTTTTTCATGGTTCTCTTCACTGATCCAGTAACAACATAATCATTGAAATTAGAGACAGAAAAGCTCTGCTGGGGCATTGTGTTAACACTCTGCCAGTTCCAAATTGCGATCTACTGAGCTGTGGCAGGTAAGTCATCACCTCCCCAGCTGTGCTCCACCCAGAGGGGAAAAAAAAACAACACACAAAAGGAGAGAAAAAAAGAGCTATATTAAAACACAAGCTCAGCTGTGACATTACCATTACCTATTATGGATGACTCCTGGTGCAGAGGCCTTCATCGTATTGACTCTTCACTTAACTATATCCATGACAGGGTGTTGAATTTCTGCATTTTTAGCCAAGTAGAATGGAAGAAATTATGGATTTTGCCAGTTCTATTCAAAGAAGGGGAAATACCGAAGCATTGCAGAACCCCTGAAGAAAGCAACCACTGTACAGTCCCTGAGCTGCACCGAAGGCAATGCTCTGCCATATTTCAAAGCTGTCAAAGGTTCGGGAAGAGGGATGGGCCTTGCCTCAGGTTAAAGAAAAGCAGTAGGACAGAGTGTGATGGATGTTTTATGAGTATCAAA